AAGGAGGGGGCGACTCCCCAAAAAATCGGAATTCCGATTTTAATCGGAAGAATATCATGCCTGCTATTTATACAGCAGGGGAGCAATTCCATCAAATCCCATAGGGAATGATGGAGATGAAAACAGAATTGCCTTCCAGAAATGAGACAGTAACATAGTACACCTTGAATTGGTAGACAATTGGAAAAACATTTGTAATAAATTACCTGCACAGAGGTGATAGACCCTTTTCTCGTTGTTGTGATCCTCTCCTGCATGGTACCCATATCAGTAGCCAAAGTAGGTTGGTAACCCACAGCCGAGGGGATTCTACCCAGCAAGGCAGATACCTGGAAGAGAAGATAAAAATCTTCTGCAGTTGCCAAGGTTGCTTCTTTTACAATACAGAAAGTGTCAGGCCCTGCCCACAATTTGGGAAGATCCCAATCTTAATATTATTAAACTGTTCTCCTGGGTGGTTTAAAACTTACTTCAGATCCAGCCTGTGTGAAACGGAAGATGTTATCAATGAAGAGCAGTACATCTTGACCCTCCTGGTCTCTGAAATATTCAGCAACAGTCAAGCCTGTCAAAGCAACTCTGGCACGAGCACCAGGTGGCTCATTCATCTGCCCATAAACGAGAGCAACCTATGGGAGAGCAAAGAAACTTTAAATAAAACAATGTTAATTGTCCCATTTCATTAGCGTGGCTAAAAATTTCCTGCTCCATAGCAATAAATTGGTATAATACATACATAGAAATATCCTAGCTGATTTATTATCCTACCAACTCTAATGTCTTTCTGAAACTTAATGTGGATTTACCTCTAATAATATACTTCTTCCACCCTATGTAATTCCTTCATAAAACAACTGTCTAATATATGTACACTTCAAATTTTATTCAAAATATTCCAGGTGTACTACAAATCCCTTCAATCCTTGGAACTTTCTCTAGAATTGTCAACACATGACCCAAGATCAACATTAGAAATTCAAAACTGCATGCCCTCAAGAATAATGGCCAATTTCTGGTGTAAGCAAGCAGATTAAGCCAACCCATATTGCACTTTTGGAGTTTTAGGGCCACAGCTAAAGCCCGACTCATTTGCTCACCTTGGATGTGGTATCCTTCAAGTTGATGACACCAGACTCTATCATTTCATGGTACAAATCATTCCCTTCACGGGTTCTTTCTCCAACACCAGCAAATACTGAGTAGCCACCGTGAGCTTTGGCAACATTGTTGATCAGCTCCATGATCAATACAGTCTTGCCTACACCAGCACCACCGAACAGACCTGAAGAAAAAAGCTGCTTCAGTACCAAAGAAGGATTACGAGCTCCTCTGAAATTTCCCATTTTCCTTCTCAGAAGATGAATTGCTTCAGCAATCTCAGAAGAACGAAAGTCATTGAGTTTTGCTCATCAGTGAAGGAAAGACAGCCAACATCAGTTGTATGTAAAACACTGAGACTGCTAATGATTTAAAGTCCATGCTATTCCCAGGAAACTGCAGAAACACAATTGGTCACCTTTCTACCTCACTTAACTTACCAATTTTACCACCCTTTGCATATGGGGCAAGAAGGTCTACAACTTTAATGCCAGTCACAAGGATTTCCTGTTCAACGCTCATTTCCACAAACTCAGGTGCTTCGGCATGAATAGCAGCAAACCTGAAAGAAGTGATTGGTTACATGTTAACTATATCTTTTTCCAAGATGACCAAAACTATACAGTTCCCTGAACGTAGACATGTATTTCAGTGTTATATCTCATATTAATGTTGGCATGTTTATTTTTTGTTTTCTAATGATCCTTAGTATGGAATATTTTTATCAACTGCAACTATATACTAAGACAACATTTTCACAGAACCATCCACTAGGACACATCTAAAACAATTTTTCCCAGATAGCTAGATAATTCAGATGCCACATATGTGCAAATTAAGCTTTCTTGCCCCTTCAAACATTTAGGAAGTAGCATGGAAATTAGTGGGTACACATGTCTCTCCTTTTCCATTTCACTGATGGAATTTTGTGGTTGAAAGTTTCCTAGTGGAGAGGAACACCAGGTAAATGAGGCCATCGAAATAACGAATGATGGTTGCCTCGCTGTCTTCCTCCAACTTCGTGCTTACTGTTTGGTCTTTATTGGACCTCTTTCATCAATTGGCTCTCCAATCACATTCATGATTCTGCCAAGGGTCTCAGGTCCTACGGGAATTCTGATTGGTGCTCCAGAATCCAAAACCTTTTGGCCTCTCACCAAACCTTCAGTACCATCCATAGCAATGGTACGAACAGTATTCTCACCTGCAATAGGAGAAATAATAGAAGATGCCTTTACCCTAAAAGAATGCTTGAACAACAGAAATATACTCTGTAATTTGAAGTTTTTTTTTTACCAACGGGTAAAAATAAATAATCTAGACAATTTATAGGAAAGTTGGTAGAAGGTTGTTTTGTTATGTAGGTAATACTAGCTCTAGAGATACACAAAACACAAAGTTCATGCAGTCAAAAAATATTTTAACAGAAATAACTTTGGCTAAAAAAATAACTGGTATTAAATGCCCAATTAGACCTGTAAAATTTCAAGTATTCTTTTATCTGAGAGCTTCGGGAACATACTGAGCCTTGAAACATAACAGGAGGCTCATAACAACTTAGACTGGTCCGCAATACCAATCAATAATTCTAGCCTACTTGGCCTCAGATCCAAAAGCTTTCTGATTAAAAGACTTCCTTTTCAGATCATAAATATGACTTCATTATGTTCAGAAGAACGAAAGTCATTTGTATTGATCATCACAAGGAGCGATAACAGAATGAATGTCAGGTTGATCAATGACATTTACCTAAATGCTGAGCCACTTCTAGCACCAAGCGTGTATCTCTGCCTTGTACCTCAAGGGCATTGAGGATTGGTGGCAGGGCCTCATCGAACTGGACATCAACCACAGCACCAATGACTGCCACAATATGTCCAGTGGCAACTCCAGCTTTAGCTGCAGGAGATGTTTGTGCAGCATAGCTCCGGCCTACAAAAGAAAATACAACCATCAGCAGGCAAATTAGATGCTTAATTATACAACTTCACATTCAGCAACTTATAAACACCCCCACTTCCTGAAAAAGATGTAAGATCCAGATTCTCCTTCTTCCAAGATGACTTCAAAGAGCTTTTGTTTGCAATTTCATTTCCAGAGTTGTTTGAGTTAGGCAGCATACATTTTATAAATAATTCTGCCAATTATATAAAATCATTCAAAGCCAGTCAAAAAAATTTTTTTTTTTGGGGGGGGGGGGGTGTCAAACAGAAAACTCTGGAGAAGGACTCTGTTTTTTCATAATGTTTCAAAGGGATTTTATTCTAACAATACATTAGCACCAAGTTTTAAAGAAAAAACTTAATAATTTTTATGAGACAGCTGTATGAGCTATTAGAAAGCCAGGCTTTTGCAGTGGTCATCCAGGAGAGATCAATAATCGTATCACTCCCTTGAAGAAAACCTTTCCTTAGCACAAGTGGAATTCTCACAGGCCAATAATAAGCTCTGAAAAAATTCAAAATGCAAGTGCCTGAATAGCTCCCTCACGGGCTACCATCAAATTACAGATGAAATCATTTCTTCCTCACAAAGCCTGGATTGTAATACCCCAAACCAATGATCGTGATGCCATGAACGGAGCATTGTGGAAAATTCGTTTTTCTGCTCCTAGCCACCACGCAGTAGATCGATCAAGCATTATTATTTATTGCAAAACCTTCCTAAATCCTGTCAGCGCAATTTCAAATGATCTCGATGTGCACCATTCATGGAGGAAGGTTCGCGCCTTAAATCTCAGAGAAGCACTGGAAATGCCGGTTTTATCCTGCTTGGCCCATTCTGCTTGTGCCTCTCTCTCTTTCCCCCTTCGCCACTGCACCCACAGAGGAGGATGACGACAAACGGCGTCCCAGGATCTGAAAAAGAGCTCCGCAACGCTTCCCCCTCAGGTCCTCAAACTGCCGAAGGACGGCCATCTTTGTCCTCAGCAAAGGAGCCAATCAAGCTCCGGCAGTCCCCCGGTCGTCTTCCTTGCTCGCTCGCTTCCGATGCGGCGGCGGCGGGGTGGGGGATGCGGCCTTCATTGTCCCCAGCCGTCTTATACAGAAGCGGGGATGTATCGCCAGAGCTCACCCCCCCCCACCCCGTTAAGAACAGCCGCCTCGAGCTGCTTTCCCCGGCCGTGCAGAGAAGGCCAGAAACCATCGTTTCCCCCGTTATCTAACGGGGTGGGCAAAACCCGAGATTATGGTGGCGCAAGGCCCCCCCCCCCATCCGTGCGGTCGTTGACACGTAAGCAACGACCCCTGGGTTCGGCATCTGGCTTTCTGCAAAGGAAGGGCAACACGCCGTCTCGTTTATAGACGCCGAATCAAAACCCCGTGCCCTGGATTCCCTCCCAGGCCAAACGCCTGGCTCGATGAGCGGCGAGAATCCAGCAGAAAGAGGCAAGATGCAGGCGGGCAAGCGACAACTCTTGCTTCTCCTCCCCACCCACTTCTTCGAGCGCGGCGCCGAAGCCGGACGTTGGCAGGATGAAGGCCAGCCTCCCACCCGGGCCGAGCAGCACCCTCGGTGCAGATATGCCTTTTTCTCGAACCGGAACCCTCCCGAAGCCGGTCTCCTTCACCCCAGCACTAGGCCGCAAGGTGACCCCGCCCTCGAGCTCCCTCTGGTGCTTTGCCCACCACTTACGGGCCTCGGCGGCAGCGGCAACCGCCCCGCCCCGAAGCTGCAGCAGGTCCTGGAGGGGACTCGAAGCGCCCCGCGCCCCCCTCAGCAAAAAAGAGGCCGAAGAGGCGCAGCGGCGAGTCGCGAACCCCAACATGGCTGCCACCGGCGAAGTGGAAGAGCAGCCCTACCGCCAACCTAGATCGGCTTCTCAAGGGCTCGCTTTACAAATTCTGGATCAGGATTGGTCAACGGGTTTGCCTTTCTTAAAGTCTAATTGGGTAACCTCCTGTCACTCACGCGCTTGAGGACTTGCTGATTGGAAAAGACTTAAAACTCCCTCTGCTTCGCTCAAGGCTTCAAAGGGCGGAGCTATTGGGGCACATGCTGAGCTCTCCCAATGCGAAAATGCGAGCTTCCTGGGCGTGAGCAACTCGCTTCGCATAAGGGCCTCTTGGATTGGATGACATCGATGCGCTTCAAAGAAATCCTGCTTTATTCATTGGACAGATGTTGAAAGCCACGCCTCTAAAGGAACTTCTGCCAATGAATAGAAATGTGAAAGAGGTAGCGCTCTTTTCTAGACTGAAGGCTGAATGCCCTAGGTTTGTCCTTGTGTAAATTGAAAGCTTCGGCGGTTTGGTAGGTCATAGAGATTATGGGGTGTCCGACTGGCAGCTATGAAGACACTGAAAAACGTAGAGTGCATTAAGAATTGTTCGGATTAAATTTACATTTAACTGAAAAGTTATCTTGTGCAGAGTTAACCATATTTCAACCCACTGAACTAATGATATAAAATATGGTTCTGATCAAAGTTAAATTAGGTCATTAAGTTTCCGGTATAACCGTACAAAGGATTGTGATGTAAGAATATTAACTCTCCAGAGAATCAGGGGTACATAACACATAGGCAGGCTTCTGAACAAATATATGTAAATTTGATAATGAACAGCTACAATCTCTATTTAGGAAGAAGCAAGCTAGTTGTTTAAGATGGGGCGTATATTAAGAGTTCAACACTTTCCCCTAAAATTATACATACAGTACCAGGATTTCTTGCATTTTAAAGATTGGGGGCTCATGTTAACACTAGCAAAACACATACCTAACACCTGCATTTCGGAATCAATTTAAAGGACAAACCAAACTCAAAACTACAGGACAAACCAGTGCATCCTGCTTTCTTTTCCACATTGAAGGCGATATTTGGTCTTCCATAATAATTTGAGGAATATTCCTTATACCAATTAGTAGCTTTGCAAAACTATAAGGGTCTCTTGTATTATCATTTGCCCATTTACAGGGTAAGGTAGTGATTCACTTTTTTCCCCTTCCCCTTCCGTTCCATCATATTTGATTCTGCCTGGACAAATCTCTGAAGTTTTCTTGGGAAGATTTTTCAGAATGGTTTGCCATTGCCTCCTTAGGGTTGAGGGAAAGTCACTTTATTCAAGGTAACCAGCTGCCTAAGGTGGGACAAGAGCTCAGGTTGTCTGTTTTTCCAGCCTGTACTCCAAAGTGGCTCTCTAATATCTCATTAGAACCATTTCAATGGACTAGGGATAAATCTAAGGGGGTTTAATTTTCCAAGGCATATTTCAGCCATGCCTGTCACATGTCCAGAAAGGTAAATATAATTTCCTAAACTCAGTGATTAATATTTAATCTCAGTACTATTAATGCATTTTGTGCATATGAGAAACATGCTTCTACAATGTATATACCTGGATAAGCAAGGGGTTGTTAACAGCTCGCCTCATTATAACGTAAGTACATGTTATTTGGATTACAATATCTACCAATATATTCACAAGCCAAGTTTTCAGTGGAAAATAAATCTTGACATTCTTCCTATTTATCAGAAATCTCAGATATATATCTGGTTTTATACAGTTTCGATAAGAAAGCTAGCTTGAGGACAGAATAGCTCAAATTCATCATGTGAATTTAGGTGGCATTTCCGAGCTTCACGTCTGCCAAATTAAAACTCAAAAAACAAATCTAGAAGCATAACTGAATTCAACACTGAAATCAAGATTTAAACTGGTTTCAATGATTTCATCAACCAAGTTAAATAACTTGGAATAATTTAGATCTCTTTAAGTATAGGTTCAAAGCTGCTTAGTTCAAAGTTGTGACACAAAAGACAGGAATTTTCTTTTTATTCTTGGATTATTTTATACATATAATATTACACTGGTAAAATATATACAAAACATGAAGTGTTTTTCTAGAAATACAGGCTACAGATTTCAAACTCTACTGAAAAATAGGTATGGTAGAATGGGCCTTTTTTGTAATTTTCACTCACAAAAAAAGGAGGAAGGCTTGAAACCTTTACACACTCCCACCCTGAAGTCATGCACCTAGAAGCAAAAATGTCTTAACAGATTTAATTATTCCAAAGCCAGAGATGAACTAACAATTAAGTAACCAGGAAAGGAAGGCACACTTTTTGCCAAGAAAAGTAACCTCAGCCTTGGCTGCCTTGTTGATCTCAAAATCAAGAAACCAGGGCATCTAGTTTACACTCTAGGTTACGACTCATTGATAGTGCAAATGCTGGTATTATGCATATTAGGTGCTAAAATACTTATGAAGCATGCATGCCATTTTTTCCCATAGACATACTGTGGAATTTTGTTTAACAGAAAAGGACACTGAAGATGACTGTTGGTTTCTATTCTCTATTGCAGTTGAAAGAAGTTGGGATCTGGTGACCTGGTGGACAAGCTAATTCTAGCCTTGACTTGTAACAGTTAGTGAATGAGAATAGGATGTATGGATGTCGAGAATCCAAAAATTTCCAAGAATAATGAATGTGGTGCTCTGGGCTGAGATGAGAGCAGAAAACCATTGCTTGTGTTGCTTTTCAAAAATGTCTGGTCCGTGATATCCTGAACATCAGAGCGCCAGGGTATCCTTGATGAGGCGACGCATAGTGGTGGTGACAGAGGTCCCAAGTGAGTCAGTGATCTGGTAAGAAATCTTGTATAAGTAGGGCTGGACATCCCTCAGCCCTGTGTCAAAGACGTTATCCACCTCTGACTGGGTAGGCATCTTGGGCAGGTACTCATGTCGGTTCATCACTTCTACAATGTTGATAATCTTTTCACAAAGTTTTTCACCCACCTTTTCACGACATATCTGCCGTTCCTGCTCATTAGCCAGACTCACTACATTTACCTTGACTGTCCAAACTTCCCAAGGGATGCACTCATCTGAGAAAGGCCATCGTGATTTCTTCTTCTGATAAAACTCCAGGGAAATTTGACCCATCCCATCACTGCCTGAGTTTCGCAAGGCGTCCTAGGGTGGGGAAAAAAAGCAGCATTCCATGTTTCACTGGAATAATTTTATATTTTCAGTATATTTATAATAAAGTCTTACGCATATTTACTTGGAACAAAGTTATGCCATCCTCAATGATGGTTTCTTTTTCTGTAGAGAAGATATTATAAAACTGAAGTCTCACTAATGAAACAAAGACAATTTTGTTTTCTATGCTACCCTCTAATAAAAAGACCTGAAGAAGACTCCTTAGTATAGTAGGAAGTAGGTCTTAACACAAGTATAGTTTCAAACATAGACTATTTTCTCAACACCTATTTCTAATAGAGGTAGTCCTTGTTTTACAACTGGTCATTTAACAACCTTTTGAAATTACAACTGACTTCTCCAGACTTACTTATAACCTATTTTTGAAGTTATAACAGTCATATTATTGCATTTTGGGCACTTGGCAACCGGCTGGTCTTTATGGTTGTTTGCAGCCTCCTGCAATCACATGACATTTTGCAACATTTTTTGCCAGTTTCCAGCATTTACTTCTGGTCTGCAACAAAAAATGCACATCACAGCTACTTAATGACCACCGCAAAAAAAAGTGTTGTTTTTTTTAAAAAACCAGGTGCAGTCACGTGACTTACAACTGCAATGAATTACAGCTTTTATACAGATACAGATATGGCAACTCAAACTGTTATCTAGGGAAGGAAAAGAAGCAATTACCAATTCTAATTTACTGAAAAAAAGATAGAAATATAACACTTTTTTGAACAATAGTCATTTAGCCTGTAGCAGTGTAAAGTATTTTGTGCTGCCACTTTAAAGATAACATATTTATTATGGCATAACCTTTTTACATGAACCAAGAATTTCATCAGATGCATGCTCTGCAGTATATTTACTTCCATGGCAGCAGAAGAGGAAGAAAAGATTGTTTAACAATGTAACATAAAAGATACAGCCAAGAATAATTGCCTTATAACAGTGGCCATTTATAAAATGATTATTGACCATGTTTTTTTTGCAGTGGAAAGCTATAAATGGTAACATCCACAGAACCTTACCAATATGCACATTCTTCAATAATGATACTCCTAACACAATATTGAAATCGTGGTATTAATGCATATAAATTTAAAGTTCTTTAAATAACTCTCTCTTTAAAGTTCTCTCCCCCAGTCTATTCAAATGGCAATCTAAAATATTTGCATTTGGTATTGTACATTTCAAATGGGAGTTTCTGTTGGTACTGCTCAATCTGCTGATTGGGATGCTCCCCGAGATGTTTCAGATTTGAAGTGTGGGACTTCTAGAATATTGGTTCCCAGTATTTAAACAGGGATTGCCCAACAATAGCCACTCAAAATGTCATAACTCTCTTGATAATGATGAGTCTGTCTTAACTTGTTACTGCTCCAACACAAATAGAAAGTCCCACTCTGGATTCTTTTTTCCTAGTGGGCAAGCGGATGGTGGTTTGAAAAGGGGGCTATGTTTATATCTGTTCTTTTGTCATAGATGATTTTCTATTGAAAATGAAGCTTGCAGAGACTATTTTTCACTGCAGGGGTGAGGAACTCTATCCTCTCAGAAGATGATAGATTCCAATGGCTTCCAGAAGGATCTGAAGCATTTTTTCATGACCCCTTTCAAATATTTGGCTATAGAGATGATGACAGCAGTTGAGACAATTGCTGTTCAATCTCTTCTTCCCAATGTAAAGCCCATTCAGCCCCTTGGTACACATCTCAGCCGAGGGCAAAGCAGACAGCTGGAGGAAGGCTAAAACACAGATAGAAGAAAATTCATCTTGAATCTGATTGGATGCTAGTAAGAAATCATTCTCAAGCCTATAGTGTGACAATGTTGGAGGATTTCTTCTTCTTCTGTTGTGTACCCTCAGCACCAGTGGAACTTTTTTGAGTGATGCA